CTCCAAGCTTGCAGAGTGTGGCACTCACGATCTCAGTCGACAAAGAATCGATTAAGAATGCATGAAGGTCCTGCTGCACAAAGCTGGTTGTGCCATCGACCCAAGTGTCAAAGATTCTTTTGTGAAAGTCAACAGCTGACTTGCCCGGTGCACCTCCAACGGCTCGGTGGCTGAGCCACCCCATCACCCAGGGGCGCAAGCGCTGCACAATGGCCCGGGCCCCAGCGCGCAAGGCGATCGGCCTCGTTTCATTGGCAGCTTTGTCCAACAAGACAATGGTGGATCGCTGCCACTGGGGAGGAACGACCCCACTCTGGATGATGGCTCGCCACAAGCTGGCGTACAGACACCACCACGAGTGAGGCAATTGCAACAACACCGAAGCCTCCCACCCGTCCGGGCCGGGGGCCTTCTTCTTCATCTTTTGCATGGCCTTTTGAAGCTCAGCTGCCGATGGAGCTATGTCAATGTCGCTCCCTTCCCATGGGCCCAAGCCCTGGAGGATTTCGCGAAACGCTGAAAGATCAGAAGGTTGAGCAGGGCGAGTCCACCGGTGTGTCCAGTGCCTGCCCTGGTTTTCGATCTTTGCAGCAGGGTGCAAGTATGTGACGGCATGCTCGACTGGGTCCGCAGTAGCCTGAAGTCTCGTGGCTTTATCGGCACGGCGTTTCACCCAATTGATGGCATTGTCAACTGAACCTCTGATCTTTGCCTGCCACTGCTCAAGTCGAACCTTGCACTCCTGATGTCGGTAAGTTTGCTCCAAGGCTTCAGCGATCTCAAGAGCGGCACTAGGGCACCTAACATCAACATACGGAAGCGCTGGGACGTGGGCCCGCACCCCTTGCAGAGATCGCACTGTGGCACGATGCAAATCCTCCCGCCACGGCTGCTGCACTTGCTGGCGCAGGCGTTGCACTAATCGCCTCAGGGCTTGGAGTGCAGAAGATTCCTGTCCTGGCAGAGCCGGTCTAGCCGGGCGACGGGGCTGGCTGATGGGATCCCACATGTAGCTGCGCTTGCAACCGTCACCGTAAGCCCCCAAAAGCGCTTCAGCAAGGTTCGACAGTGCCTCCCAAGCCTTCTCAACGTGGTTGTGGTGGATCAGGTGCTTGAGCTCAGGCCCGAGAAGCTCTGGAACCGCGGGGCCCGCCACATGGGCGGATACAAATCATCACCATATAGTTGTATGCGACCAAGGCGTGGTCACTGAGAGGGGCCCGCCGCTCCGTCGTGACATCCAAGGCAAACAGGCGCGGGTGATGCACCGCGAAATCAATGCGGCGAATGTCACCTGGGCTCGTCGGTGGCGGGCCGTGGTTGCCGCATCGTCGGCAGCCCTCAGTGTGCCCATGGCGAGTGCAGCAGAGATGGAGCCCTCCTCCTGGCTAACATTGAAATCGCCGGCAATGATGAAGTGACCCCGTAAGCTTGGAGAGCCAGGTGAAGCTCCTCAAAAGCCTCGAAGGTGTGTGCAGCTTTATCGGCAAAACCGTAGAAAGCAGCCACCAAAATGTGGTGGTGAGTATCTCCGGAAGGCCACGCGATGAGGCCAGCAGCAACCCTGGGCCTGCACGAGGCGGGCAGTGTGCACATCCCTTAGTGTATTCAGGACAGGGTGTCCCGGGTGATGCAGTCTAAAGTGGTGCAGCTTAATGTTGAGGTGCTTAAAGCTACACAGATGGCACTGAAACAGTTTGGTCCGCAGCATGGTGGCAACATCAGGCGGCGGCACACGGCGACCAAAGGGTCGAACACCAATGGGCGGTGGGATGTCAGTGGTCCCAAGCTCCTCGGCATCCTGATCCGTCCCCCCACGCTGGCAGCAGCAGCGGAGGCAGAACGTGGACGCTTGCTCGCAGCACCAAGCTTGCTAGCGCTGGCCCCAGAATGCTGAGTGTTGGCTCCCCGCTTCCTCGATTGGGGCCTGGAGCCTGAGACAGAAGGCTCAGTGCGCAGGTCAGCCGCTCGAGTGCCACAGCCAACTGATGAAAGCAGAGTCGGTAGCCAGCTCAGACACACCCACCAAGAAGCCTCCTGAAGGGTCGGCTTCAATTGCAAGCAAATCCTTGGGGTAGGCATCCCCAGTCGGAGCAAGGTAGTCGAAGTGGTTTGTGGTGTAAGTTTGCATCTTCCGGGACTAAAACAACCTTAGTCTTGGTGAGCTTGCATAGCGCTCGCAACTCAATGTCGCCCGAAAAGGCGCCTGGCCTGGCAATGGCCTGAACAAAAGCCTCCCAATTGGTGCAGGGCTTGCCATCGGGCCCTTTGGAACCATCATCCTTCCACGCTTGCTCGTACCACTCCGGGTGGCCCTGGATGTGAGTCGCAACTCGGGCTCGGAGCTCGAAGTGATGGAAGGTAGCCTCCTTGGGCATACTACGATACATGCAGTTCCCTTGGGCGGCTGACGCTGGAGGGCTTTCTGTCGCTTCGGTGTAGAGGCCGCCTTGGGCGCAGCAGCAGAGCCGCCGCCCGCATCACTGGCCGTCCCATCCTGCGCAGTGTCATCTGGAATGGAGATGGTGACGGGAACCGGGTCCAAGGCACTGGTCTTCGCAATGAAGGGGACCGACGCACCATGGATGGTCCGTTGCTTTGTCGTGGCTTCCCGCGGTGGTGCAAGCTTGGCCCATGCAACAACCTCCCCGTCCTCAATCTCAATGGCAATCGGGAGGAGGTCAACTTCATTGCTCCGTGCGCACGCCCCACGGAAAATGAATTTTTTGGTTCCTCCTTTGTGAACTTGCCTGATGATGCTCACGTCGTTAAAGACTGGCTCTAAGATGGTGCGAGCCTGGTCCATATCAACCGCTCGGGGCACACCTTCGAAGATCCATATGCGCTGCACAAGTGTTTTTGCATCTGCATGGTGTCGGCTGCCAAGCTGCTGGCCTCTGCACGCCAGGCCGAGGGCCCCCGATGAGCGCATAGCCTGCGCAAGGTAGACGGTGTTAGGCTCATCCTTGGCACGCTCAATCCATTGAACGTACTGGTGGACTGAGTGGTCGCGAGGGGTTTGCACGAAGATTCCTCCAGCTCCAGACTGTGCAAGTAAAGAAGCAGAGTCCGACTTGGCAACCTTCATGACCCCAAAAAGCTGATGCTTGCCTCCCTGGATGAGCTCTTCCGTCCATTTGGAAGTGTCGATCAACTGGACCCTTTGGGCTGCGGCCCACGCTGCAATCTGGGCCCGGGGAGCTGCACAGTACTTTTTCCAGATCTCGGCAGCAACGAAGTCCTGTGGGACTTTGACATAAAGGACCGTGGTGTCCTTTGGGGTTGACCGTCGTCGCAGAAGTTAGGCCCTTGGTGCGAGCAGCATCAAGCCCGGCACTCGTGAGCTGGTGGACATAGGCGTCAAGGAATCGCACAAAGTTTCCAGCCTTGACCGGGACCCTTTGCCGCGCATTGGCACTTGACTCCTTCTTGGTATCGCTGGACAGGCGGTCTTTGGCGAACTCAATCAACAACACACTGTGTTGCTTGCCAGAGGCCTGAAGAAGGTTCTTGGCCGTCTCGATCTGAGAAGGGAGGCACTGCACTACCGCTCGGAACACAGGCTCCTTGTTCTCCCGAACTTCACAGCAAGCTGCTGGTACTTTATGATGGTAGCCCCTCAGTTCAACTTCCTGGGAGCTCTCCCGGCGGGGCCCAACAACAGTCCACTCTGATTCGGCTGCGGCCGGAGTTTTCGGGCCTTTGGGTCCTTTCCCCTTGCCTTTTGCATTTGCAGGATCTCGCCCTTGTGCCTTGCCTTTGCCCTTTCCTTTTCCCGGCTCTTGGGCAGTGGCAGGAGCAGCGGCCGCCGATGGGCTTGATGCAGGAGCACCGGGTCCTCCAGCGCCGCCGGCCCGGACCTTTCGCAATGCGGCCTTCTTGAGTTTGGCTTTTCGCTTTCGAAGGTTTCGCGGCGAGGGGGCAGTGCCAACGGGCATGCCCACTTGCGCAAGTGACTGCTGAATAGCCTGCTGCACAAGTTGCACTATCATACCCATTAGGGACTCAACCAACCCGGGGCCTAACCCACCTAGAGCCTCAAGGCCTGGGGTAGCGGCAGGTGTTGGGTCACTTGCTTCTCCGAAGCGCACGCCGGCGGAAGGCCAGCCACTCCATCTTGCATTGGTGCCAGCAGCACACCATTTGGCGAGGGCCCGTTGTACCCTGCAACACATGGAAAACAGGAGTCGGCAGGGCCTTTGTCCTTGGCCTCAGTCTTAGCCCGCTCACCTCGGCATCCTCCAGGGTGCTGGAAGGCGCCTCCGGCGCCTAGGCTGCCACCTTGGCGGGCGAATGTTCCAGGTCCATCGTCGCCCTCCTGCCCACTTGGCTTTGCGGGCCCTTCTTGCGGTCCCACGGCAGTGGGTCCCTTGCTCACAGCTGACACTCAAAGCTTCCGCAGGCCCAGGGTTCACCTTCCCGGGCTCGGCTGCAGCAACTAAGGAGGAGCCTGACACCTGTCACTGGCTCGTGGTTTTGGTCGTCGTCAGGCCCCGGCTCGGCTGGGTCACTGTCGGCTTCGTCACCTAGGATCGGAGGCCTCACGCAGGTCATCGCTTCAGTATCTAATGGTGGCTTTGCTTCGGAACAGCCTGAAAGCACACCAGCCGGCTTTGCACAACCCATGCACTGCCGGGATTCATGTTGTTCAAGAACGCCCTCCATCCCAGCTACAAGCTGGGCTCCCAATGTCCTTTCCACAAGATGCATCTTCCCACACGCACCTGCCAGGACATGTTCGATAACCTGCAAAGGGTCTGGCCATCGATTCGTAAAGTCATGTGATAAAGCTCGCAGTGTCCCCGGCGACATGGCGCGACCACCTAAGTCGAGGTTCGACACCTGACTCCCCAAAGTCAGGTCCAGCTCGTGCCACGTGGAGGCACTCGACTTGAGCCCGAGCTAAGCGACTAGCTTCGACATCGCTACGACGCCGAGCCAACTGTTGCTCCCGCTGATGGCGCATTCCGCGCCAAGGCGGACGGCTCGCGGCGAGGCGCCTGCGACGGAGGCGAAGAGCCGCTCGAGCTGCGCGGCCGAGGCGAGGTCCTGGCAGCTGCCAGCACAGCTTCAGCTCAGCTTCAGCCCAGCTGCATGCCGAAACCGAGCGCGTCTCAGAAAGAAGCTTCAACAGTTTGAAGTTTGGACGCTGCGCTCCTTGAGGAGCTCCTGGAAGCTCTCCAACTCCAGAGCGCCGCTCGTGGCCTTGGCCTCAAAGAAGGCCTCCCCCGACTGGCCCTGCGAGCGACGCAACGCCGCAACGCCACGCCTTTCAGACTTGTCAGGGGTTCTCCCCGCCTCGGCGCTCATCCGAGTCCGCAGAGCGGCCACTGCCCGCGCTCGAAGCTCTAATGTCTCTGCCTGGGCCTCGAGAAAGAGAAGAGAAGGGGGCTTTAGGGGCTCCCTGCGCATCCTGCTCCTCGCCTTCTTGGCCACGGCCTCCTTGGAGGCCCGTGCGTTGCTCAGGACTTTCTCCAGCTGCACCTGGCACGGCGGCGCCCGGCCGGAAAACGGCGCGCTGTGCTGGGTGCCACAGCCTCCAGGATCCGGTGCTGCTCCTGCAAGCGGAAGACCTCCGGCGACAGCCGCAGTTGGGAGCAGCGGGCGGGAGCTGAAAGCGCAAAGAACCGCAGAAGCGAAAAGCAGCGCGCTTCTTCCGGCGCCTCCTTCTTGAGCTTCGGCTCCCGCTCGAAGGGCCATAGGCCTTCAGTGGCCTCAAGACTTAAAAAAAGGCTCTCTCTCTGCTCTCTGGAGCTCGAGCCGCTGCGCTGCGCAGCCTCTTCCAGCTGCCGTGAAATGGTTTGCAGCATCTGCCGCACCTCCGCCAAAACCCGTCAACTCATGAAAAGCTCCTCTCCTCTCGTCGCGCGGGGGGGGGGGCCCGCCTCCTGCCCCTCGCCCTCGGCCTTCTCCGTGCCTGCTCTCACGGCCTCCGACGAGCCGGAGGCCTCGCATAGAGAGAGAGAGAGAGAGAGAGAGAGAGAGAGAGCTTGGCGCGGCCTCCAGGGACTTCAGCTCCTCGGAGACCTGCGGATCAAGGAGGGGCTCGAGCTGCGCAGGGCGCCCTGCGCCGCACTTGCCCCGGCGCGCCTGCTGGAGCTTCAACTTCCCGTCCTCGAACTGGGCGGTGATCACTTCCACCATCTCTTGGACCTCCGACAGGTCCCTAAGTGCGCAGCGCTTCGACAGCCACGTGCCGGTGCCTTGAGCCGTTGGGCTTCAGCCTCTCGTTGCTGCTCCTCTTCTGCGGCCCGCCTTCGTGCGAAAGCCCAGGCATATAGGAGCTGCGGCTCCAACGGACACAAGGTTACACTTCAAGCGACAATTCGAGACGAGGTCCACTCTCCCTCCATGCAGCGGCTACAGGCTGTGTCCTTGCCCCCATGGAGCCGCCTGATTCTGCTAAGTGCCATTAACTTGCTTGTTGCTCAAGCCGCAGACGTGGTTCTGCTATAAAGGCGACGATGACGAGGAGAACGACAACCAGGACGTCTTCTGGCAAGTGTCACTTCAGCACTCGGGCACAATAATGGTGCAAGACTTAGGTCGAAGCTAAGGAGACTAGCTGGTGAGAACTGCCAGCTCCTGCACCCTCAACAGCGGAGCACTGCGAAAGTTGCGAGTGACGGAGAAAGAACGACACAGCAAGGGCAGCAGGCAGCAACCTTCGCTCGAAAGCAATGCCAGCTTCGCTGCAGCACCGATGTGGGTGGGCGCAAATTATGAAGATAATGAAACGATCCAAGCAGGCAGTCATGGCGAAGAAGCCACGTGCTGCTCGCCTGGCGCGAGCCTCGGTCTCGAACTTGGCGATGCCCACCTAGGCGGGGAGGGGCGCCTTAACGCCGCGCCGTGGGCGGGCCGCTGCTGCGGGCTGCGCGCCTTCTGCCGCAAGCGGAGGAACTTCTCGAAGGTCACCGGCTCCAGCCTCGGCGGGAAGAGGCGCGGCCCCTTCGGGGCGCTTTGCAAGCGGTGGGTCCCGGGTCCCGTGCACTCGCATGATCCGGCTCAGCACGTCCCCAGGCCTAAGACAATCCGACGTCGGAGAAATCTCACAAGCTCCGAAGCTCTGTCGAGATCCTGACAGCTCCACTCCGTTCTCTTTCGCGTAAGCTTGCACCTGCGACTTTCTTCTGCTTTGAATTTGGGATCTGCAGAGGAGTTCCCCTCGCAGTTCCTCGGCGCCACTCAGCTGCCCATCACCGTCCATGTCGTGCCTGAAAAGCTTTGCCAGGTGGGCGAGAGATTGACTTACAGAAAGTACGGCACAGGACCTCTTAAAGGCAGCCATCCAGTCCTGCAGTGTCAACACCCACAGCACAGGACATCGTCAATGCAAGACTCGGCTAAGTTCCCTTTTCGAACAACAACATGCGCAAGAAACTCGGCGATGACATCGAAATTTTCGTTCAGATCACTTATCTTTTGAGAAATTGAATCTGAAATAGTCGGGCCAAAACAACAAGCGACATGATGTGGTCTTATCAAAGACAACACGAATGCCTTGGCTGTTGCTTCATACCAAAAACACATGCCCATCAATGGCGGTGCCAGCCTCATCCATGAGAAGGCTTCGGCAACTGATGCCAGCACCGAGATGCCGCTGCATCATTGTAGGAGTTCGTTCTGCCGATTTGCCCAATCTCCGGCACCGGGTCGGCCATCGTCGGCTGTACAAACTGAATGAAGCACATACTTTTTCTCGGCTACAAATGAACAATAGTGACATCGACGGTGGCCGCCGCCTCGTTCACGGCAGAGGCGGCTTTTCCGACGCGAAGGCAGTACTACAAAGCTGTGCGCCATCGGTGAAGGCCTCATGACATTGACTGGTGCATATATGGATGTTCAAGGACAAGGAGGGCAAGGAGGGCAAGGTCAAAGGACGTGTTGGAACACATGTCGCTGTGGTTTCTTGATCAGCGGTGACCACCAATACCCCGCCGAATGGATGGGGCGCATCCAGACGATGTGCGCAGTAAACATGTTGGGGAAAGCTACTTTTCCCCAATATGTTTAATGCTTACGTCGTTTCTGCGCGCAATCACTGAAGGTACCAATGGTGCCATGTGTGATGTACGCATCAACCTTTAGGCCCGATGAGTTCCAGGAGGAAGGAAATGCATAGCTAGATCTGAAAACCTGATGGTTGCTTGATCTCGGATTCACCTTTGATCAGCGGTGACCACCAATACCCCGCCGAATGGATGGGGCGCATCAAGACGATGTACGCATGGTCGCTGGGAAGACAGGACACTTCACATTTGCCGGCTTGGAGGTGCGCCAGGTGCAGAAGAGGTGAGGGTGACGCAAGAAGCCTGCAACGCCCTCGTGCCGATGACAAGAGCCGTAGAGACCCGGACCCTTTGAGAAGGGAAATCCCAGACGAAACTTCATCTCTCCCGAGGCACACACGACCAAGCCACTAAAAAAATCTTGAATTGAGAGAGATTGCACTCCGCACACTCCGCACTCCCTGCCACTTGTAGACTGTAGTTCTCCGAACTGGGACATGTTTGTCAGCCCTGCCGCCATGATCGGGGCAGAAGCTACAAATAGTGTAGCAAGAAACATTTCACATGTGTTGCTTGAGTGCTAACAAGATCGTCCTGAATTCGATGCCATGGCTGTCTTCTAACTTCCGTTCCGCTTCATGATGAACCCCGGTGACAGCAACCCGGAACGCAAAGCTTTACAGGTTATGAGCGAGTTGGTACTTTTTTACTGGTGCTGACTTGTACAGCTGCAGCGAGGCGGCCGGGGGGGAAGCGAGCAAAACGCTCCATCGATGGGTGGTGCCCGCCCTTTTTTGGGACAAAGCGCTCGCGGTAGCTATGGCAGCCGCCGAGGCCGAAATCGAGAAGTGGGTGGAGCAAGAGGAGCACAGTGAGCAGGTTACAAGGACGCGAGGAACGCCAAGCTTCTTCCACCACCACCTCCAAGAACCACCGCGGACCGACCGCAAGCGTTCATGAATTGGGAGCATGAACCAAGAACACCACCGCTTCGGCGAAGACGATCACCTTCACCGACCCCCAGTCCACTTCGGAACTGAGGCCTTCGCCGTGAGTCTGAGGACGCCGATCGCGCAACCCTCACCGTCGTACACGAACAAAGTCCTCCCGTCCAGCTCGTCGCCTGACTGATCGCCCGCCAACACAGGGGCAACTCAGGGGCAAGGGGAAACCCCCAGCCAACAGAGCTCGCTTGAAATCAGCCTTGCTCGGCAAACCAACGAAGATTCCGTCTCCGCAGTCGACCCTCGCTTAGCCAAGCACAAGAGCAGCACACGACCCTCAAAAGCCCGAATCACCACCCAGTATCGAGATGCCAGCTCGGGACGAAGTACCTCCAGGCACTTCCTTCTGATACCACTCTTCGAGGCAATGATTTTGGCAAGGCTTTGAGCTAACCGGGTCCTTAGACGCCCGGCCCCTGGTCTAGTGAGAGCTCCCACTGCCGACGCGGATCGCTGAGGAGGTGGTGCGAACGGAGCCCGCCAACGATCCCAGCAGAAAAGAGTGCCAATCAACAGCTCGGTTCCCTGTGGAACGAGAGGCGACGAGGGAGCAGACAAGAATCTGAAGACCTGGAAGAGAAGCGACACCTGTGCAGCCGAACACCACGGGTGCTCACAGTTGATGCTGCGACTCATCAGTTTCAGCTTGTGCTGGAGACGGCCCTACTTACACTGACCAGCTCGCTGCATGAATACCCCTTCAACCTTACGACAAAAGTTCGCGATCCACGCGTCATTTGGGAACCCAAGTTTCTTTGCTGCTCGCCTGTCTCTGTTTCGGAAGATTGCGATTTCGTCTCATGCTTGTCTCTTGCGATTCAAGCAGCGGTGCGAAATGAGCGGACACGTCTCACGAGATGGCCCTCTGGCGTGTCCTGGTCTTGCTTCAAAGCGGCGGCTCGCCGCAAGCCGCGTCCTGTTTCACAAAGAAGACAAAGAGGAGCTGTGGTGGAACTTTGCAAAGCAGCATTCACCCGCCTCGGGTCTCCTCCAGGGTCTCAGTGCACCTGCGCTTCTCGCACGGCACCAGCCAGAGCTACCATGATTCCGGAAATCTGCGCGGCTTGGGAGAGTGCAGAAGCGGGTAAAAAGTCAGGACGGAAGTGCCAGGCCGGGGTGGCTCTCAATGGGAGCTGAGGCTTAGAAGCAGCCCGTGTTTCGGGAATACTTTGGACTTTAAAGGCTTCTCCACTGCAAGACGCAAGACTAATCGAATCGACCGAGCAGTCGAGCAGCGGAAGTTCGCCCTTGGCACCTCTGCAGGCTCCGGTGGGACTGCTGCAGCCGGCCCGTCAAATCGTCCACCTAGATCAGAAGAAGAGGTTGAGAGAAGAGAGGATGGGAGGATGGGAGGATGGGAGGATGAGAGGATGAGAGGATGAGAGAAGAGAGAGCATAGAAAGCGAAACAGAGGGAGAGAAGAAGAAGAAGATGGAGAAAGGAGAAAGGAGAAGGAATGGGAGAGCGGAGACTCCTCAACCGGCCTCTCGCTTCACGTGCCGGGCGCCCTCGCCGGCGCCCATGGCCTCCTTCTTCACCGACAACAAGCGCTCCGACCTGAGCGCGGGCAGCGCGACAAACCAAACGGCGCTTAGGCCGCTTAAGCCGCTAAGAAGCCACTGCCACTGCCAAAAAAAAAGGCGCCACTCTCGCTTCCTATCTCTCTTTTTCTGGGCCTGTCCAGGAGGGTCTTCGCGTCCTCCAAGTGCTTGCTCGCCTCCTGCACGGCCTGCGCTCAGCGCACATGCAGCCGCATCCAGCCGCATGCGGCCGCTTTCTGCACCAGCCTGCAGGATGTCTTCGGGAGCCGCCTCGGCATCGATGCCCCGCTGGCACGCCGCGGTGCTGGCTTCCTGCGCCTGTGTCACCCGAGCCTCGCGAGTGGCGAGGCTAAGCGCTTGTGGCAGCAACCGCAACCGCGGCAACCGTGGCAGTCGTGCCTCGGTGGTCTGGACCTCTGCCGCCGCCTCTTTCAGGAGCTGCTCCACACGTGCCTACGTGCTGCGGGCGGAACGGCGCAGAAAACACTTAGACTCATCCACGCGCCAGCTCCATCTGCCGCCGCCGCTCCGCTTCCTTGCGGCAAAGCCCGGCAAGCGCAGGTCCCCAAATCGAACCCCACAACGACACCGACAGCGGAGGACACTCATTCCCCAAGTAGTCCATGGTAACACAACGAATCCTGCACGACTAATCCGACGTCAGCCAGGACTATAGTGTGACCACACTGCTTTGGGGAAAGAAGAGAAACTGCAGAGTTGACCTACATTAATTAACATTGAAAAAGACCCTTCTTTGCGGCAGTTTTTGGGATCTTCGTGGGGTCGTCCTCCCGTTGCTTCAGCTCCTCGGCGATGCGCTTCTGGACCTTTCAGAAGCAATGAGAAAGAATGAGTCCGCCACACCCTTGTGCTTGGCACCTGTGTGATGGTGTGCTGCATCTCGTCGTTAACGCGGTCCCGCAGTGCTCCCATTGCCTAAGGTGTGACGTGCGACACAAGAAGGGGACTCGCACTTTGCGCTACGACTACGGTGACTACCCCGACTACCGCTACTCTGAGCCTGGAAGTTCGACGCAGCTGCTTTGTCCAGATCGGCCTGGCACGATTGCAGGAGCTTCTGCGGGCTTCTGCGGGCTTCTGCTTCCCATGCGTTCTGCTTGGAGCCTGGAGACTCTTCAAATTGTCAGGTGTCGCGTTGCCTTTGTGCTCAAGCCACAGCTGCTGTGCCGATGCCCTGGGCCCTCCCTTCTTGAAGGCTCGGGCGCAGCTTCTTGAGCACCTCACGCACGTTGTTCGCTGCCTCCTGTGAAGACGGCGCTCTGCAGGCACCACATCATGATGGAGGCGGAGGGGGAGGGGTTTTAGGGGAGGGAGGGTTTGGGCGTGATGTGGCGTGTCCGCGTGTCCTCCTGCTTTCTCTCCTCCTCCTGGCGCCGCCTTCGAGCCTCGGCCTCCCTGCGGGCCTTAGCTGAAGCTGCCACACAACCAGGCCACCAGGCACAGAAACGAAGCAAAAAAGCCAAGGCCACACGTTGCTGCCGCTTCTGCGGCTGCGCGCCGACGACCACGGCGAGTACGAGTGTGGTGTAGAGTGGTAGTCGTCGTCGTGGTGGTGGTAGTAGCAGTGTAGTAGCCATAGTAGTAGTTGTAGTAGTTGTTGTTGTTGTTGCTGTTGCTGTTGCTGTTGTTGTTGTTGTAGTTGTAGGTCGGTAGGCGTTGCATCTGCCGCCGCGCGGGGTGGTGAAATTCCTCTGCTGGCATGTGCTAAAACTCGAGTTTTTGCACTTTCTTCACCGGACGTTGAGCTTTGCTTTTGCTTTCGCATCGGTTTTTGCGGTGTTTTCTAGCAAAAAAGTGACCCCGCCGCGGGCTGCACTGTGCAAAAGCATGTTCAGCTCTGCATTTCGCCTCGTTTGTTTCGGTGTTTTCCTGTGTGTCGCATTTCGCATCGGATTTTGCAGTGTTTTTGCCGACTCTCGACTTTCTGCACGTGCCGGCTTCGACTTGCATTTGTCTTTCAGCTCTGTGCGGGGCTGGGGGGGGATCGGGGGGGGTGATGACGTCCATGCGAACGCGGCTTGTGTCTTCTGTTTCTCTTGTTGTTTCCATTGATTCTTACGGTGTTTTTGCCGATTCTCGACTTTGTGTACATGCCTTGTGTCTTCTGCTTCTTTGGTTGCGTTACTTCTCAAACGTTACCAGTTGCTCTGTCAACCCGTACTTGCCGTTTCTTGTTGCTTCACTTTGGAAACGTCCACCATGCAAAAACCTCGAGCTTTTGAAGCTTTCCACACAAAAACTTCCCAAATGAGCCTGAAAATCAACATAAATCAAACGACTCTTCCGCAAAACCTAGCGCAGTGTTTGGGGGGGAAAGGAGATCCGATATCCGACCAAGAACGCGCAGTCAATCTTGCTAATCTTGGTCTGTAGTAGTAGTAGTAGTAGTAGTAGTAGTAGTAGTAGTAGTAGTAGTAGTAGTAGTAGTAGTAGTAGTAGTAGTAGTGGTAGTGGGCACCCCCACCCCCTACCAACTGCACTTGCTCTTAACCATGTTAAGACAACATCCATTTTACTCGGTATTTACGGCACTTTCCTCATGTGCGATCATCATAAGAGGCTTCAAAATCGACTTGTCGAGTTTGCAAACTCGGGCTCTTGATTTTGGGTTTGCTTCTGGGCGGGGGTGGGGGGGTGGGGGGGGATGATGACGACAGTGTTACGCGAACACACCCAACAGCATCACCACAAGAGCCGTTTTACTTGGTATTTACAGTACTGTCGTGATGTCGGACTTTGTTACATATTCTGAGCCCCTACTTCTCGACTATGCGCAATAAAAATGGTTGTTTCGAACTGTTTGCAAAAAACTCGACATTGGGTGGGGGAAAGCTTCTTCGTGGATGATCACGACACTGTTTTGTGGACACCCTGAACAATATTTCCACACTCACGCGCGCACACACCACACACACCACTTTAAAAGCAGACCCTCCTACGCCGAGTTTGGACCGTAGGGATGTTGGCGAGCCCCTCCCACGAACAGCTGGCATCTTTGTTTGGGATGTTTAGAAGATGTTGCGCTTCAGGTTTTAGAAATGTGAAACCCTTCTTGGCAGCACCTGGGTTTTGCACGGTATTTATAGCGTTTTCGTACTATCCGACCACCTGCGGTTTAGCAGATTCTTCCCCGTCGAGCTTGCAACTCCGGCTGCTGTCGCAGTTTTGGGGCCTGAGCCCTTGCAACTTCACCGGCTGTGACAGATAAGGAAACAGAGCCTCTGCAACTTCTGCAGCTGTCGCAGATAGGGAGCTTGAGCCCGTGCATCTTCTGCAACTGCCGCAATTAAGGCGCCTAGCAGCTACCGGCCCAGCCCGGATGGAACAAGTGTAGTTGGTAGGGGGTGGGGGTGGTAGTAGTAGTAGTAGTAGTAGCAGCAGCAGTGGTAGCAGTAGTAGTAGTAGAGCGGAGTAGCAGTAGAATAGTAGTAGTAGTTGTTGTTGTCGTCGTCGTGGTGGTGGTGGTCTGGTAGTAGCACAGCAGTGATGATGCTGGAATATGCTGGCTGTGCCCGTGTCACGCAGTGCTTTTCGAGTTGAGTGGTGGTCTCGCAACATAGGCGTATCCCAAATGCGGACCTGTACAAGGCAGTCTTCATTGCTCATGTAAGGCGGTCTTCGGAATGGACAATGCTTCGCTGTCCGTTCGCAGCTACTGCCACTGCTACCGCTACTAACTGCTGTTACAACTGACACTATCCCTCCAGCTTGCACGGGTAGAGGCAGAAACTCTTGGCCAATCAGTCGTATGCCCCACTCCCCGCCAAGAGCTGCGCAAACCCCCGCGCAGCATTGTTTGATAGGGCTGGTACCACTACTACCACCAGCGCCTGCCCTTGCACAGTGATGGATCATGCAGACCAGACCGCAAGGTTTATGTCATGTCAATGTGGTGTTTATTCAAATTTCTAAGGTGTCCTAGCCAGTAGCGAACTTGCAAGCATTGACTTGGGTCCCGCCGAGTCCCTGGCCTGCTCCCGTTGCTGCTCTTCCTCACGCTGCCGACGCCGCCGCGCTTCCTTCAAAATCCGAGGGTCTCAACCCTGAGACCTGCGGCCCCCCCACCGGGCCCCCCCCGCCTCCCGCTGTCGGCGCTCCTCCTCCTCGCGGCGGCGCTTCTCCTGCGAGGCAAAGGAGCCGGCGCCACTTCAAGTGCTCCGCTGATCTCCGCCTCCTCTCGCTTGTCCCGGAGATCCCGCTCCCTGTCCCGTGGGTCCCGGCGCGGGGCACCTCGGGGAAGCCAGAGACTCCTATACGCTTCTCAGACCCGCGACTACATGTATCCAGGCCTACGCTGATCCGCAGCTTCTCGTCCACTTTGCCGTCCCAGGGCACCTGCCGCAGCACTGCCGCACGGGGGGCCATCGCAGCAGTGGCTCGGGGCTCTGGTCGGCGGGGCGTGCCTTCCAGTTGGACGTGGGAGGCATGGCGTTCTCGCGGCCGAGGTTCCCGGCGTTGTAGGCCCAGACTTGGTCCCCGCCCACCTTGGGGCCTCTCGCAGGACGCATGAGCGGTCCCCGCCCCCCCAAAAATCCCCCCAGCATCCCCAGCCCCGGGCCGAACCACCAGCCGTTGAAGGAAGGCCCGTCACCTCGGCCGGCCGGAGTTCAGAAAAGAAGCGGTCAGATCATCAGATCTCATTTCTGCGTACGTTCGTCCCAGTAGTAGATCAAGACCGTCACACTTCCCTGAGGTCCCTCCTGACACGAAACTGACACAGCTCAGGTCTTCTGCGCTGAGACCGGGCCGCCTTCTTGTAAACTGGCTTCCCATGGTTGGACTCCTTGGTGTTGTACAAGCCTGTTGAAGCGGGCTGCGCAGCCGGACTGCGGAAGCGGACTGCGACAGAGGGCGCAGAGCCTTGGATGATGTTCGACACCGTCTCGTTGCTGCAACCGGAGACATGGATCGTCGGCTCTGGCCTTAGGCTCTTCGCTGCAAGGCCGAAAACAACACTCCAGACTCAGCTTTCGCTTTTCGCCAAGGCCGCGCGAGACCAGACACGGAGGCCGGCGGTGGTACGGCAGCACCTTCTTCCAGCAGCACCGAGCTTCAGCAAAGATCTACAAATTCTGAGAAGCGGAAAAACAGGACGAGTCGCCACTCCGCCGATCGGGGCCTCCACAGTCGCGGGTAGCAGAAAACGCTGAGTCTTCAAGTGCAAGCATGCCAGGTTGATCTGCGCAAGAAGCTCGCACGCACCCAGGTGTGCCGGCTTTGAGTTCAAGGCAAGCCGAGCACAAGCCACTACCAACGCCCTAACAACCGGACTTGAGAGCCGCAGCCCATCCTAGGGAGCTTGTCCGTATCCGAGACCCGGGGACCTCGTGGAGGTGCTGCGCCCCCGCCGCCCCCGCCGCCCCCGCCGCCGCCCCCGCGGCCGGGAGCGTGAGGAGCGTGAGGAGCATCCGAAAGATGCGGGGGGCCCCTGCCAAGATCAGCAACCCAACGGGCGGCGGGCTCTTATGGACTCTTGGCCTGGCGGAATCCCTTCCACGACGGTCGTTTGGAGGCTCTCCCCGGCGCTCTCCTGATGGGACTTAAAGCACAGTTACGCCGATAACGAAGCCCACACCCACAACAGCCCCCCCACAACCCCCCCCCCCCCCCCCCCCCCCCCCCCCCCCCCCCCCCCCCCCCCCCCGCAACTCCTCGTCGGTCACCTGGCCGTTCGATCCGGTCCGGCAAGCGGTCTGGAGGACCCCGTTCCTCCGACTCCAGGGTGCTTCAACCCGTGCTGCGCGAGCTGCGTGCTGTCCGTGCTGTCAGTCTCAGTCTCAGAGCGCTGCCCGTCGGTCGCGATCGTCTCGATCTGCTGGACCTCTGCCGTAGCCTGCCACATACCGCTGTACCCTTGCAGCTTCCCTCTGCCCTTTGCGCCTCCAAACCGATCGCCCCCTTTACCTTCAAGGACTTGGCATCTGCGATGTTCTCTGCATGCAGTCTCTGCCGCCCAGCCTTTGCCTTTGGAGCCACTCTGGCCGTACATAGCAATGCAAATGCTGTCAAGTGCTGCAATGTCTGGACAAGCTGTTGGGTTTTTAAACTCTGCTGGGCTGGAGGTCTGAAAGTCTGTGGCGACGGCACTTTGCCACCGCACTACCTGGGGCTTGAAGTGCCTTTCGAGGGCGCAGCGACGGTACACCTGAACTGCCTTCCGTTCTCTGCAGACTTGCACACCGAGACTGCTTTTTGTTGGGGAGTCCCGAAAAGCTCGAGTGCGACGAAGCAGCAATGCATCGCATCTCATCGTCCGCGGTACTTGGTCACCTTGGCCTCCGTCAGAGATCAACACGACATTGCTGATACACAAACATGCGCAGCCTCAAAATCTAAAATCTGAAAGCCGCTTTGGATCTGCTGTTGCTTTCTGTATTCTGCCAATGTGGATTCCTGCATGGAGGGCCCGGTGCCTACTGTGCATTCCTGACGAAGGCGGGTTTCCTGGCGAAGTACGTGTGGTGCTCTTGCACCGCCAGCTTCGACGTGGTCGATACAACTCACAACACTCTTCTGAGCGCCAGGCTCGTTCAGGAATTTTGGGCGTGAAGGCGTGAAGTGCATATCTGTTTCATGCATGTTGGACCGCAAGTGGCCTGCGCTTGTGCAGCTTTCGTGCCGTGTCAGTCAATGCATTCGAACCTTCGAGTGGCCTGGCCCGTTTCACCAAGTTTGGGGGGTCGAGTGACACCACAACGGCGAGTTTACCGAAGAGAACTTTGCCGGAGCTCGACCGTCCACAAATTTGGCAACCTGAGTTCAGCTTCAAGGAGGTCGACGCTGTCAGCATGACGCAGGAGCGATTTCCAAGCGGATTCGCTGTTGAAACGGAATGCATGCTCCGGATCGCAAGGCAACGTGGCGATGCCGACGAGGGAGGCTTGGGAGCTTCCACACGCAGAAAATCATGCAAGTCCAGCTGACTTGACTCTTTGTAAGTTCAGTCTAAACGGAGCAAGCCCTTAAAGAAAAGGAGATCCGGGCGAGACTGCCAGATCCGAGTGCCGCCTGCTGTTGAGAAAGGGCGGGAACATAGTGGTAGAGCTGCAGACCACCCGCAACAAGAGTTGACACACAGCGGCGCGGGTAAGAAAGGTGGATGCCCAGAGCACACGGGAATACAGGCGGAGGCAACGGGCAGACGGTGATGTCACTGTGATCGAGGAGCTGCAGCTGAGATGGTCTCAAATTGGAATGCGAGACATCGCCCTGCCCTCAGTCAGAGCTGTCAGCGCTTCCAAGACAATTCAGAATGCTAGGAGATGACAAAATCTGGTTGACACTAACCACTTCGAATCTTCCCTGGGAAATATAAAAGGGTCGCGAAAGCGCCTCAGGGCCTCCCAGGGCCTCAAGGCCTCGGCGCAAGACGACGGCTCTCTCGGCGCCTGCTTGGGGTGGGAGGTGAAGGTGTGGGTCGGCACGAAGTCCCCCAGCTTGAAGCCGACCTCGGAGCAAGGCGGCCGGCCAAGCCGCTCCTTTCTGCTCCTTGGGCCTTTTGGGCCTTTTGGGCCTTTTGGGCCTTTTGGGCCTTTTGGGCCTTTTGGGCCTTTTGGGCCTTGGGCCCGGGCCATGCCTTCGTTGATGACGATGGGCACAAACTCCCGACCATTGTGTACCTACACCGCTCCCGCCCTCCCGCCCTCCCGCTCTTCTCCTTTTTTCGGCTCAGCGGGCACCGCGCAGGTGTGGCCGATCATGGCAGGGATGATGGTCGACTGCCGGCTGAAAACCCGGACGGTCTCCTGAACGGCGTGGCTCTGGCTCACTCTTGCGCCCTGAATCCCCTTCCATCCCCTTCCCCTTCCGCCTTCTTGCCTTCCTTGTTCATGCGGGTGATCTTGTTCAGCAAGTTGATCGCGATGAACGGTGGCTTCCTAACAGCGGACTCCACTGCCAAAACGAAACCTTTCGGATCAAAAAAGCACACACGGCTGCGAGGGCGTGCTACCACACGAACTTCTGTACGGGATAGTGAGGAGAGTAGATGGGATGCGCCGTTGTCTCTCTTTGCTACTCCTTGGCATCTGCTTCTTCGAGATGTCCCGGAGCATCGTCCACCTGAGTTTAGTGGTGCAGTCATTACAATAGCTGCTCCTGAGGCGGCTCGCTTCGCTGAGTCGCTGAGTCGCTGAGTGCTGGGCTGGTTCGGATCCGCCTGCCTTTGCACCTTTGACCTTTCAGGCACACGCCAGAGGCCTCCGACTTGGCCGCCCATGGGAGCCTCACAAAGACAACCGACTCGGTCGAAAAGGTTTCTTTCTGTCGAAACGAGGGCTTGAAGGATGCAGTCAGAGAAACTGTACGCCTTTGGCAACGAGGCCACGCAGCTAAGTGTGCCTTAAGCCTTAGGGGCTGACTCTGACTAGAGAAGTCCCGGCTTCAGGCTGGGGGGCCGAGGAGTGGAAAGGACCACGTGACCACCGTGACCACACCGCCTGCGCCGCCTGCGCCCTGCGTGTTCGGACAAGATTCACACCTCTGTGACACGACAAGGGATGACGACGGTTCACGCGGGCCTGAGGCCTGCATCTTGGAAGCACGTTTGGGGTTCGAAATGGAAGCAATGCGGATCTTCGATCGCACGACTTTCTAGCTGAACAGGTGTGTCTCGCGAAAAACCTAGCCACCCAAAATTCTCAACAACTGCTTCTATGGGATCATCTTGGCATGACACGGTCCATCGCGGGCAGTCAACACTTCTTTAACAAAGCACTAGGTCACTAGGACCAGGATCTGGTGCAGAGCACGATGAATGAAACCCGCGAGAAAATCACCAAAGGACGTCAACGCTCTGAGATCTGCCGATCTCAGCGTCCAGCGGGCGACACAAATGTCGCTGTCGATGCATCGGACCTGCGCCCACCCTTTTCCCAAATCCCACAAGAGAGAAGGCGCACCTGTTGTACACGCCACGTGACCACACTGCCGCGAGCGCAAGCAGGAGGAAAGCTGGGTAAACCTCACTTGGCACACTCGGAAGGTGCATTTAGACATGCCTGTGGATCCCCAACATCGAGAAAGCTCGTGCGGAACACATGCTACGGCTCCAAAATTAATACGTCTATGGTAAGTATGACATGTTGCCAGCGTGAACTTGAACCGAACATGCCGTTCTTCGAGCAAGGAGCAATCAACTGTGGAGACTAGCTATGAGCGGTATGGTAAACCAATATCGCTGGAATTTGCATTAAAATTGTGATTGTGAATCCTGTCCGCATGACATACACGTTCGAAGACTTCCAGATTCCAGTGCTACATTTCGCTTCGCAGCAGCCTCCCAATGTTCGGATGGCACAACTGCTGCCACAGTTGGGAGTCCCGATGCCACGCAACATCAAGCACGTAACTTATCGCCATGCAATCCAGTCGAGCGAAGACCAATCCCGAAGTAAACACGCTGACAGACTGAAGACATAGCTGAAGCAAGAAACTCAACCACGCACTTCGTGGGAAATGAAGCTGGCTTGCACAATCAACTATTTCCAACACCAATTCCATGTGGTGCTTGCAGCGACTCCCACGGACTCGCAAGCTGCGACAGCAAAGGCGGAGAGAGGTGGGACGTCGGCGAGAGATTGCACAGTGGCTTCAAACCACTGTGCATCACCTCCAGTAGTTCTGGATCCAAACGCTTCCTGAAGTTGTCCTGCTGAAAGTTGTTCACGATCATAGAAAATAGATCTCTTGAAGTTTGGCTTCAGGTAATGGATGCAGCTGTTACACTTGCGGGTAGCAGCGACTTTCCCTGAAGCACTTTGCTTCGAAAGCTGCCCAAAGAACACAATGGGAGGTTGAGGCTCGAGCCTACATTGCCTACATCAAAGCCTACTTTCCATCCAAGCCTGTGAACAAAGCACTAAGCCCCTGGCCCCTGCGCAACGATCGCTGCCAGGCCGCCAGGCAGCAGGTAACAAGGACATAGGGATAAATGGTCAGGCGTCTGGCGTTCCCGGGTGGGGGCTGGCGTGTGCGGAAAGGGGTTGGGGGCCGTTGGAGCTGCCACTGGATGTGGGGTGGTGCTGGCGGCCAGGGCTCACGCGCAAGCCCTTTGCAAGCAAGCCGTAAACCCTATGACGCAGCGCGTGCCCCTGTTTTGAGCAACCTTAACTTGTACTTAAAACGGTACACCCAACCCTGAACCCCACCTGACCGCAGGCGCTAAGCCAAAAGCAGAGCATACACCACAAATCCTCCCTAAGCCCTTGTCGACTCGAAGCCTTATACCTTGTAGCCGTAAACCCAACACTCAAAAGCTTAAGCTAAACCCTAAACCCCAAAACCCCACAACCACCCCACAGGGGGAAGGGAAGAAGAACCCCACACCCCACACCACAGGGGAGGGGGGGCCCCACCCCATATCCGGACCATTGACCTTTGGGGGGGGGGCTGCGGAGCGCGTGACCATAAATACGTAAATACATCCCGTAACCACTTAACCAAAACAGGGCCTGGCATCAGTACGGGTCGGCAAGTTGAGAAGACAGGTTCGCATGGAATGACAACCTGACGTAGTGGGGACAACGAACCACACATTGGCATCAAGACGGACTTGCGAACTCAAAGCTGCAGACAGACAAACGCAGATGTGCAAAGCCACAGCAAAAAACACAGACTAAATGCAAAGGCAAAATGAAATCCGAGAACACTGTCACAAAAATTGCTCTTACAGGACACCGATAAACACGTCTAGACGATCTGCAATGCAACGATTTTCGTGTTGAGAAAACTCGTCCAGTGCAATGCCTTTAGAGACTTTATAGATCCTCGTGTGCTCCTTAGACGCCTTTCCGATCGAAAAGAACAGGCGATGTATCTGCGCATGCTCGGCACCATGACGGAGGGAAACCCAAGATGGAGCGACGATTGCAGCTCGCAGCTCCCCCACCGAGGCCCGGGCCTGACCGGCCCAGTCTTTTCCAGTCCCACGCGGCTTTGCCTGGGAGAAAAGGAAACTGAGACCCACAGGGACCCACAGCTCTCAGTCGCCTGGCCCTCCATCTCCTTTCCCACGGAGGCCAGGGAGGCCCCGCAGACGGCGGACGGACCACGGTTGTCCGCTGAGCTGGAGCCAAGATGCAGAGCGAGAGCTCCCAACCAAAACTTCGACTGCGCCAAGCCCCAGCCAATCCCCGATCCCTCTCTTTCATAGGAACGGTTGCGTCGCTTCTCGGGTCGGCCGTCGGGGGGCCCCGGTAGCTCCGGTGCTTTTTTGGCTGCCTCAACTCGCCTCCTATCAGGAAAGGACTGAGGAGTTACGGTCTGATGACTCTGACGATCGGCGTGGCCTAAGCCTAAGCATTCAGATGTGCCAATGTGTGCCAATGCTACGGCCCTAATGGTGAGTTGGCAAGGCTGCACGTGACTGCACGTGGCTGTGCTAAGGCCGCTAGGCTGTGACGATGGGCAGACTGCGCCATTCACGCATCTGTTTACAGTGAATCGTGCTCAGAGCTTAGTCATTAGTCCTCCAAAGTGACTGAGATGACCTTGCCGTTCAGCTCACCACGGTCGAAGGTTTCCACAGCCTGCTGGGCATCCTTTGCTCTTGAAAAGGTGATGCGGCATGTACCTCTGGAAAGCTCGCAAAGGGTAATCTTCCCGGTCTCTGCCTCGAAGGCTTCTCTGACATCGGCTGCTTTCAGTTCCTTGGGGATGTTGGTGACCTTAATCCTCTTGGGAGCTGAAGGCGTTGGGGCCGCCGTCACCCGCGCCGCCCGCGTCACACGGGCTGGGGGCCCGTCTCTCTCCTCCTCTCGGGGCCTCTTTCGAGGCTCCCGCTCCCGCTGCTCCCGCTGCTCCCGCTGCTCCCGCTCCCGGTCGAAGGCCCGGTCCTGGAGGCGGTTTCGCTCCAACCGCAGTCCAGATGCGGGCCGCGGCCGCGATTCGCGCCTCACGAAGGGAGGATCGCGCTCGCCGCGTCGATCGGAGCGCTCCTCATCGATGCGGCTCCACATTCCAGGCCTTCCCACGGCGTAGCTGCCGTTGTAGCCGTAGCCTCGATCTTCCCGCATGTCCGCGTCACGGAGGCTGCGGGCCCAAACTCCCTCCCCCTTCCCTTTGCCCCAGCCCTTGTCTTCCCTGGCATTGTAGCCGTAGTCGTAGTCATACTCGTATCTCTCCTTTCCTTTACCGCCTTTGCCTCTTCCTCCATTGTCTTCCTCCTCATCCATGCGCCAGTCGTCATGCTCCATCCAATACGGGGAAGCCGATGTCGACGTTCCATCCTTGCCTTTGCCCCAACTCTTCCCTTTGTCGACGAAGTCGCCCTTGGGTCTGGACTTTCCCCAGCTTTTGCCGTAGCTCTTGCCAGGGCCCCAACTTGCATCGTAACTGTAGTTGTTTGAATAGCCATCCCTATGTCCGTTCGAGTCCCAGGTATTCCAGCTAGAGGAGCCCTTGGGGCCGGGGCCTTTGCCCTCTTTGCCCTTGCTCTTGCCGCCGCTCGCGCTCGTGTCGTCCACCAGCTCGTCCAAGCTCATGTCCAGCTTTTGGCCGGAAGGCCCTTGGCGGAAACCGAAACCTCCGCCATCTTTGTATCCTTTGTTGCCTTTGTTGCCTTTGAAGGCCTTTCCCCAGCCTTTTCCCTCGTAACCGTTCTCTCGGTCTCTGAACTGGAACTCCTTGCCTTTGCCTTTTTTGCCTTTGCCCTTTTGGGGCTCCCAAGTGGTCTCGATCATCTCCTCGAGTGTCTGGTCCAGATCGGCCGGCATGGCCTGCGGCGGGGGGGCCTGCTGCCGCACAGCAGTCGGCTCTGGCCGCTCTGGCGCTGTGGCTCCTGAAACTCGAGCCTCGGCGACGCGGCGATGCGGAACAGCGCAAACAAGCTCATCCTCCTTCACACCATGACTGCACACGCTGCCCTTTCGGCGACCAGCGTGCGGCGCATGCTCTCGGAGTCGATGAAAAGGGGAAAAACCCTCAGACTCTGGGCCCTGGGCAGCCCTGGGCCGTCTTTACCACCCTCGGCTTCAAGCCGAGGCCCAGCCCGAGACTAAGGGTTCCCGTAGGCACGAACCTCAAAGAGAACCGCTAACCCCCCCACATGGCAAAACGCTCCCCTCACGAGTGAAGACCCCTTTGGAGCCCGCGGTTTCTTGGGGAGGTCCATTTTCGGGGTGGTTAGACACCTATAGGCCTATAAAGAACATCTTTTCTTAGAGGTTTTCTCAGCTCCTAGGTCTAGGTTTGTCTAGGTTTGTCTAGGTCTCTAGGTTGGGTCCATCTGGGCCCGGCTTCCAACTCCCGAGCTCGTCGCGTCTGGACGCCTCTCGTGGTGGCGATGAGAAAAGGCTATAGACATCTATAGACTATAGTGACTATAGGCGAAAGCGTTTTAAGCGGAGAGCTCTGTTCGCTACTCATGCTTCGCACGAGCAACTTCTCCCCTCAACTGCGATCATACGTCTTTCCCTTCCCTACATGGAAGGAAAAGGACAGAGATCCACACGGAGAGCGGTTTCCTTCCAGGATCTCGTCAAAACTTGGCATGGCAAGCGATGCAGCGCCAACAGCTGCCGAATCCTCGCCTCCCTACCTACTGGAGACTCTTTAAAGGCCAACGGCGCTGAACGCCGACGGCGGGCTGCCGGGCGTGGGGTGGGCTACTTCCAATGAGACGCCGAGAGCGCGGCAGCGAAGGCCTGCAGGACGGCAGGGCCAAGGCCGCGAAACGAAACGCGGCTCCGAGCAGAGAGTCGGGAACCCCCCAAAAGCCCACGCACTGGCCTGGACGGTGCCCAGGGGATGCGAGTGGTCCAAGACAAAGCGATCCTTCTCCACCTGTAGCCAGGAGAGACTGCACTCCGCACATGCCGTGCGCCCGCACCGCGAAGTGGCACCTTGCCGAAGAGCAGCACTACCCCAGGGCCCGCAGTTTCGGAGCCGCCCTTTTCGGCCTCACGCAGCAATTTTCCGAAGAGCCAAGCAGCGGCGCGCAGAGTCCCCGCTCCCCGCTCCCCGCCGCCTCGAGCTGGAAGTTCTTGGCGGAGGCCAAGCTGCAGCGGCCCTGGAAGTCCAAGGTCAGCGTCTTCTGCCTCGGCTTGAGCCGAGCGCGGCGCGGCTCGAGCGCACGGCTCCCATCTACAAAAACCTGCGCCGAAGTCTGAGCCGAGGTGCCTCGGGTTCCAGCGTGGCCGCCGCGTGGAGAGCACGCAGCCTCCACAGAAAACCAGTCACGTCGATGATCCAAAGCATGGCCTCTAACTGTTAGAGCAGGGCCCCAAAGGCCTGCGACCTCCTCCCTGCCACTGCACCTGCCGAAGCGCACTCGCGGCGCGGCGGTCGGTTGGTTCGCAGCGACGCCATGGCAAGCGCCCTCCGCCCTGTGGCCCCCGGCACAGAACAGACTACACGGCTCCGGCCATCCTGCAGCGACAGAAAACTGTGGCATCTTCGGAGATTTCAGCTAACTGCCTCGGAAAGCTCAGGAAGCTCAACATCCATGCCTCAGGCACTCGCAGTCGCTCCCGCAGTCGCTCCCGCAGTCGCTCCGTCCGCAGTCTCGCTCTCAGGACCCTGCAGAATGCATTCCCTTCGCCAACACGCTCGGTGTAGTGCGACCTCAGCCAGCATTTCCACGTGCCAGGCGCACCGGCTCTGTACAAAGAAGTCCAGATCTGTGATCTCCCTAAACTATAGGCTCGCCTGCACTCTTGGGAGCCCTGCATTCGGCAAAGCTCTCGGGTGCCACACTGTCGGCTACCTTCATGCAAAAGACGTGCACATGCCAAGGGCCATGGGTGGAGTTCCCTGCGGCGTCCGCCCGCACCTCGAGCCTCGCACTGTTCACACCTGCACAGGGTTTTGCACCATCGCATTGCAGTCGCAGCGAAAGCGAGCCAAATGGCTCGCGCCTGGCGCTCGTCAGCAACCAGGAATCCAGCCTGCAGGTGCTGCCGGGTATACGCGATCGGGGCGAACCCAGCCACACTCTCAGCTCCCCCACTTCGGGCTGCAGCGCAGCAGGAAGGCGGCACCGTCGCCCGCAGGGCCCTGCGGCCCCTGTGGGCCCTGCGGGCCCTGGCGCCCAGCTCAGGCAACAGACGCGAGCTGGGGACCGCAGCAGGACGAAACGCGATGCCAGCACGCCTCCTCCTTCGGGAGGAAGATGTCAAAGCCGAGTCCTTCCGAAAAAAGCACCAGGGATCTGCGAAGAGTATTTTAACAGAAGCTCCGAGAGTTGCGGAGACGACTTTGCCCCAAAGTTCCGCTCGCTGGGTGCCTTCGACGGGCACGGCCACGAGCAGCGTCTTGTTGTCCCTCATCAAGATGAAGCGCCTCGAGGCGCTCCGTGAAGGCGGTGAGACTGCGAGGCGCGTGAGCCCGGGCCCTCCCCAAGCGGCCTCTCTTCGCAGAGGACGCTCAGCTGCTGCTCCTTCTCCTCCGAGAAGAGAAGAAGAGGAGAGAAGGGCAGCATGGGCCCCAAAGTTGGCTTTTTTGGAGCTCTCAGCCGCGCTGCTCTGCTTCGCTGCTCGCGCCTCCGGCTCCGGTGCCTCCACGAAGCTGGAAGCGAGCCCAGGGCCTCGGCCCTGCGAAAAGCAAAGCCGAGAGCGGAGAGCACATACCCCTCCGCAGTCTCTAAACTCCCAAAACCCTCTCCCTCTCTCTTCGCTCTCTTCTCCCTCGCTTCTCTCTCTCTCCTCTGCCCTCCTCTCTGCCCTCTGTGCCTGCTCCAGGATGTCTGCCAGGTCGAAACCCAGGCAGCCGTTGCAAGAGGCGCCTCGCGAGCAGCGCGACAGCCGCGGGCCGGGGCGGGGGGGTCAGCGGGGAAGCGCGGAAGCGCGGCGCTGAATTTGAAGGGAGGGCAAAAGGGGAGGAAGGAGGGGAGGAGGGGAGGAGGGAGGAAGGGGAGGGGAGGGAGAGAGGGGTTTAGGGATCTGGGAGCGGACGGCCCTCGCCTCGCTCTTCCTTGCAAGCGCCCTTGGAAGCGCCCCCGCCGTTCCAAACCTTCTTCTCCTGCAACGAACAAAAAGCGGAGAGAGAGAGCAGAGGGGGGGGGGGGGGGCAGAGCTGGGGGCAGAGCTGGGGGGCTGTTTTTAGGCTGCTTCCTCTTGCTGTATGAGGGAAGGTTCTATATAACCTTTCACTAGTTACTAGTTGGTTGGAGGTGCTGCGTTGCTGTAGCCACATCGCGCCTCCACCCGAGTAATCAAAAACAGAGGCCCCACATGGAAACCCTCTCATGAGTCATGAGTGCGAGACACGGAATATACAACTGGAGGATTTAACATTGTGAGATGCTACTTTGGAAATCAAACAACTACGCGGCACGTCCGGCTACGTGCACCTGCACTGAGCGCCTGGGGCGCGGGGCAAGGCCTGTCCGCCTGTCCGCCTGTCGGGCAGGCCTTGTTGAACGCGTTTCTCCACCACGCATAGTCCTGGCACAGGCAGAAGTGTCCCCCCCCCCAGCACTTGACTCGCCCCCTGCGCCTGCAACTGTTGCTCCATCAACCCCATGGCCAACTGCAAGGGACTCTTGCCAAGAACGGCAAATCTGATCGCCTCTGCGGGTAGACTTCTGCACGATGCTTCGGTGTCTTGCTGTCCCTGTCTGTCTCCGTTCTGCGAGGCAGGCATGTCTGAGGGCCACGGGCAGTGCAATGTGCAACAGATGGCAACAGGCAACAGGCGGGCTCATCATAGATTAAGCAAGATGTGATGGCCTTCTTTCAGAGGGCGGCTCATGCATATACAGAATGCAGAAGCGCGATCGCACGGCGATGATCGCCCTGTGAGACGAGTGCGAAGCGCCGAAGCGCGCGGTGCGTCACGTGGGCTTCGAAGACCCCGGTACTCAGCAAAGGGAAGGGACTGGCTGCCTTCCGCTCGCGTCATCCACCGAGGAACCCAAGCCTGCGGCGTTTCGGCGACCAGGCAGAGAGACCACGAAGAGACACGGAGACAGGCTCAGCCGTGCCGGAGCTGCAGCTGCTGAGGCAGCGGCTGACTGAAACCCCCGTGGCCACACCAGAAACTCAGACCTCAAGCACTCAAGCTCGCTCACCCTGCTGCGCCGCTAAACTCTGCTCCACTTTGCTTAAGGCGGCCTCGAATTTGGAATTAGCGTCAGCCTTTCACGGGCTTCCAGTCCTGACCCAGCAGAGCAGCAGAGCAGAGAGGAGGCTCAGGCCTCAGCGCCCCGGCCCTCCCTGGTCCCTCCCTCCGCGCCTTCATGTCCATGCTGGAGGCTGGCTGGCCCAGGAACTCCAGGCGGCTCACCCTGTGCGAGAGCGAGAGAAGGAGGGAGAGAGAGGGAGAGAGACGAGACCCAGCTGCCCAGCTCTGACCTGGTCACGGCGGCCCCGAAATTCTCCTGAGGCGCGGCGGCGCTGAGCCTTCTTGAACCCCCCTGCCAACTCGAAAGTCCTGGAAGAAGATCTGCAAGCTAGACACCTCAGGAAACTAGACGCCCGCTGCCCGCCCGCGCCCCGGATGTCTAGCTTCGTCTGCTTCTTGGGCAGATGCATGGCCCCATGGCCCACCAAGCTCCGGACATTTTGGAACTTTACGAAACGCAGCTGACAGGCTTCGCCGCCGTCAACGTTCTCAGGACCTAACGTGAGCTCCTGAGAGGCGTTGTCTTCTCGCCAGAGAATGGAGAGTTTAGACCCCAAACCTGCACGGGCTCTTCGTCTGCGTCTTCGAAGCCCATGTTCACCTCCAACGCGGCACTCGGACTGCCAGGTCGAAGGCTCGGGACCCGACACGACATCCGCCGCGGCAAGCCGCTGCCTTGTCCAGGAAGAGCTTCACGGTCTGAGAAAGCTCAGACAGCAGAGACAAAGACAGACGCTGCAGATCGCACCTGTGGTGCAGTGCCGTCCTGAAGAGGCTCTGGTGAAGCGAACTCGTCTCCGTCACACTACGCTCTCCTCGGAGGAGCCCAGAATCCGCACGCTCTGCAGCTTCACTGGCACCCGGAACTGCACCTCAAAAGAGCACTCAGTGAGCGCCCTGCACGGAGCCGACTCATCAAACGGCCTTGAGCAGGAGCTGATGGTCAACGTTCTCGTCGGAGCTGAGGGCCGTGTCCGGACTTGGGTCCAAGATGTTGAGCACCGGGTGCTCCTCGCCACTCTGACTCTTAGATGGGTTCCCCTCCTGCGTTCCTGGGCACCCCTTCCCTTTCCGTCCTTGTCTTCGTTGAGGCACTCCAGCTGCCCCTTCTCAACAAACTCGTCCAGGCTCGCCACAACGGCCTTGACAGCAGCACCCAAAGCAGAATGCCGTGGCGGCAGCGTCAGTGCGCTCCCCCTCTCTTAAACACTCAGGCGACAACCATGGCTTTCCCTCGCCCAGCGGGGCACCCAAGGGCGCGCCGGTTTCCCCCAAAACTGAAAGGAGCTCAAAGGGCAGAACAAGAGCAAGGGACCCTGAACCGCCCAATCCCTACACCTACGCCCTCAACCTTTGAGCTGCAAACCCTGAATCTCACGGCCCACTCGCGGAGCAATTTTCGAGGTGCAAACCGTCATGCTCACGCGAGGTCTCTTACTAGGAGCGGCCTTTGATCACAGGCATCCTCTCCCAAAGCCCCGGTCGCTTCACTTCACCCTCACGAATCTTCACATCGCAGATGCGAAACAATGGGCAGTGAGAGTCGTCCAACCTGAGAAATACACAGTAGCTGACTGTTGCAGTTCATGAAGCATGCTGCATTCAGATGAGCAGCCGCATGAACTTTCGCCACATTCGCAAGCAAGCCTCACGCATCTTTTCCACATCACCGTGGGTGACGTGTTTGCCACACTCGGGGCAGTAAGCATTCTGGTGGAACTTCACCATTGGAGCAATTTGCTTGCGAACTTGCGTGGAGAAAAGCCCGGATTGCAAGTTCCTCGGTTGGGAGAAATCACAACCGAAAGTGCTATCATTGGCTGTCGTGGTCCTCAAGTCGAAACATGCTTGACTCGGCCTGACTTGCTGGCTTGGTTGGGCCCTGATTTTGTGCATGAACTAATTACCGAATTTCTGCACGGTTCAACGGACTTCTGTGACAGAGTGGAAGCCTGGTCTTCATGGCGTGACTATCTCCACGGCCGCACATGGCGCAACCGCGACATTGGCATACCCGCAGCACATTGGCAAATCAACTGCATGATGAAAACTCACACTGCTGATATTTTGGCCAGGATTGTGCTTGGCGAAGTGATTCATTTTGCGTATTTCGGATTGTACAACTGTGAGCCCACGTCATGGCTAGGCACGGCAAAGTCGTATAAAGCACAGTGGCAATCTGCATACTCCTTCGTTCCCGTGAGCTCACAAGAGGCTTAAAACACCCCACGCTCCATCAAGACGCTGGGCGTGTAGACCTTGGCAATGGTACCGGCCTGCACGCACGACCTTGTTTTACAGGCTCACCGCTGTAGTAAGCAATACTCCGCTAGAAGCTACAGCAGCGAACATGGATACATGCCTGTGATACGTGAAACACACGGGCAACTGAATGTGTTACATGGAATGTTTCAACCAAGCGCAAATGTAACATGACGTGAGCAGCATGGCCGTGTTTTCTGCATTGAACACTGCTTGCCCGGCTTGTGAAACTCCATAAACTCTCAGCCTGGGGACAGCATATCAAACAACGCAAAACATGTACACGCAACGCAAACAGATCTTCAGCTTCAAAACTCTTTTGAGAAAAATGCCCACATATGACAGCTACCTCTCCAGATGAAAAACCTGCTGCATAAAAGCATGAAGATTAGCTCCATTTGATGTCCAACATGACATAGTTGCGGCACAAACTACCGCGTCCTGCGCTGATGAAAAATATACTCTCCAATGAGAAGTGTTCTTTCAAAATGCATTGAAAATACCCTCCAACCAGCACATTTCCTTTTTCTATCGATGACATCGCTTGCCACTATACGACTCAATGAAGATACATCAGATATTCCCATCAATAAGTACTAATGTTACAAAATATCCAATCAAGCATCATGAATCGTACTTCTTTTCACCAAGTGGGGAAAGGTCCGGTGCGCAGTCCAGCAAACCGTCGGGTTAGGCCAAACTTCACGACATGGTGGAAAAAAGAATGTCTCACCTGTCACCTCGAAAGGGAAAACGGCTGCAGCAGCAGAGAAATTCACTCACCACACCTACCGGATGGGTTATATCATAGTTATATCAGCAAGCGAACGTTTCATTTTCCAAAAAGAAAAACTTTTCAAAAGTGTAGAATAAGCAACATCCCACCGTCGAGTGGCATAGCCGGGAGTCTGTACTTGTCGCTTGTTAAAAAAACTCCCACACACCAATCCATTCCAAGAATATGGCTCAAGCGCTCTCTCTTCTTATTTTCATAGCGTAAGCTGGGGGCGAGTCTGGCTGCTTTCAGCAGGATCCAAGCATCCTCGAAAGAGCCGACGCCGGCGTGAGACGATGTGTCCCTCCTACACGGGGTTCCTAACAAACCTAGAGGTAGCAAATCGAACCCAAACACCCACAAAGAGCCCCCGACCCGCGGCCTCGACTGCCGCATCTGCGGCCGGACTTACCTCGAACCAAAAGTATTCGAGCGTGCCTTCGCAGTGAGAGTTTCGTTTGACACTGGTTCGAAAAAGTCTTAAAATTTGAGACTGGTCTCGGCATCTTCCTCGAAACATTTAAAAACAGCGAAAAGAGCCGCAGATCTTGTTCCACCACTGATCAGCATTCTTAGGTTGCGTCAACACTTCAGCAAGCTGTTTAAGGAAGGCTCGCACTGCTCTAACACTAAGTTCTCTTTTGTACCGTGTTGGATCTGTAAGTTCAGGCAGTTTTTTTTTGGCGTGAAAGGGCCTGACAGCGGCTGCTGCGCTCGGTCCCTAGAAGAAGCAAGAAGGCAAGAACAAGAAACAACTAAAAGCTGTACAAAGTGAGACAAAGTGGCTGCGACATACAGACTTAGCCGGCGAAGTCGTTCAGCATTAATTATGGTGCATTTCGTGCTACTGTGTTCACTGGCCCCGCTTCCCGCAATCTTGGGTCGCGCAATGGCAAAGAACCATTCATGGCCCCGCTTCCTGTAAACACTGGTCGCGCAATGGCCCATGCTTGCATAGCCGTCATCCACATGGCTGGGCTGCGGCACACTGCTGTAGTGCAGAAGCGATTGACTGTGACTAAGTGAGAAAAATGGCACAAGACGCACGTCCCACGAAGTCAATCCGCCGAATGCCAATAGCAGCCAAAGGGCAGAATCTGTGGAGCCGTAAGTCAAACTCCCTCTCCGCATATCATAGATGTCCATTGTAGCCGCATGGCAGAATGGCCACAGCAAACATACCAATGAAATAACGTGCATACCAAATACTGTTGGCCCACGTTCCGTCTGATACTGCACGGCGGTTAGGCGCAGAAAGCTTGACACTGGCACACATCCCCTCAGTCAGCCAGCCGAAAGCCAGGGGCATCCAAACAGCACAGAAATCCCGCATAGCTGAGAAGACTGCTGCAGCCGCACGGCCGATTGCCCAGGGCACTCATAAAAATGTAATGGAGCACGAGTGCCTCGGAGTTAAACTGTAAGACCCTGAGCCTTCACGTGTTTCCTGCTTAAGCCAAAGGCGCTGCATAGTCATTCTATACATTTCATATGCCGTAGCCTAGGCTCACCAAAGGTGTGGGCGTCCTGAGTACAAATCTTAACACCCTGCCTCGAAGTCCTTGTGCTGTACTTGTACAACGGTCCGCGGTCGGGCAAACCTCCGCCCTGGCTGCATAGGCTTTGCCTTCGCAGATCCTGGGTTAAACACTCCGTGCAACCCACCTTTTTACCTTCCCCCAATTAAGGAGGTGTGTCAGACCGTCCATGTCCTGACATTCGTACAGTAACAAGTACTTCGTCCTAGTGAAACCACTCACAACAAACTCGCTACAGCGCTCCTTCTTCTTTGAGCTTTCGGCTGTTGCGTTCCAGGGTGAAACTCTTCTTTCTGTCTCCGGCCTACACTCACTGCTGGTCCTCACACTCGAACCCGATGTAGGTCTTACGGATATCCAGGTGACCGTCCTCTTCAGGCGAGGGGTCCCTCAGTACGCATTTCCGTACTGTCCGGGGTACTGGCTCCCGGTTCCTTGTCCGCTTCTTTCTCTGCTTGTTCGCAGTAGGTCTCGTAAGATTCCTGGCACTCATCCGGCATTACCATGTTTCCCATTTCTTCCATGGTTACCATCTTTCCACGAAACTCTATCATCTCCGGACTTTCTTCCTGAGTCACTCCTGAAATGACTCTGCTTCCACGCTGGTAGTCTTCCTCACTTATGATGGGCATCCTTACTCCATCCGTGTGTACAATTTCCGGCGTTCTCATCACTGCCTTTCCACGTCTCCTCAGCGGCTTTGCCAGTGTTACTGCGCTGCACTCCAGTGTTCCATCCGTGCTCTGACTCTCCTGATCCACGAGGCTCATCCGCTCCTTGATCAGCGGGTTCTTCCACTTCTCTCGTGCGATCGTAGCTCTGTCGCCACTTCGCAGGCGCATATTCAGAGATACACGGGGTACAGGCGCACCATTGGTGGTCCCTTTTCTCGCGGGTGCATTTTCTTACTCCGCACCAGTGACATTTCTTCATACATCCTCCAGCAGACTCCACGGTATACTCCATGACGTCCCAACAGTCATCGCTTTCATCCGGTGCTTGGGGTTCCACGCGTCCACGTCTTTTACGTTGACTTCCTTCCGGTCGCGTTTCCGGATAGCATATCCAGCAATGGCGAAATCTTTCTGCCAATGCTTGTTCCTCGTACTTCCATTCCCATCGTCCTGAACGTACATGTTCTCCCTGCACATGCCAACAGGTCGGCTTATGGAATACTTTGGCCTTCGACGCAGTAGAAATCTTTACTTTGCCAACTCCTTTGATTTGATCTACCATCCGAGTCAGCTTCTTTGAAAGTTTAAACCCTTATACCAGTATACTTCTTATAACCACGGCGCGAGTTTGGATTCTTTTCTCACTCCGTGCTCCGCTGTCGGGCTGTCTTGAGCCTACGTTTGACCTGCGGTGAAACACTGGATTCCTGTATGTAAATGGGCATGAGGGAAAATTGAACTATCTGTTACGCCCTCATCGCATACACAGCTTTGTCGTGTAATGCGATCCTTGTGAAACTTTTCCTACTTCTACCACTGTTTTCGCATGCTCCTGTGAGCTTTATCTTCTCTTCTCGCACGCTTCTTTGAGCACTTCTTGAACATCTTTAACCTTCTCTTCCTTTGGTCTTCATCCTCAATCTTCAGATGTCCTATAGCAGATTTGCGAATTTCCACTCCACACACGATTGGCATGGACTCACTCAGAATCTAAATGCGCACTCACTTTTTCTTCACGTCGCTTTTCGCCATGTAGGTCCATACTTGCTCTTCGGCAATCTGGAAACTTTGGCTTGTCTCCTTTGCTTTCGGACTTCTTTCATCAGTCCTGCATCGGCTTTTTAGCCTTCTGTCATTGACCTTTAAACAATCGTTGTGCTCGTAGTGCTTTGACGTATGCCGTGGGACCTTTACGTAGTCCTCGTGGCTTTTGCTGTGGCTTTACCCACGCTTCTCACAAGCTTTCTCCATAAGCTTTTCCGTTGTGAAACATCTTATTTCTTTCCTCAAACGTGCACTAAGGCGGGGAACACCCGAGCGTAAAGGGCGGAGCCCGTAAACTTGCGCTAACCGAGTCGGACTCTTCGTTTTACTCAAAAAGGGCAAAGGGGTAACGTCATTCGAGAGCAACCATGCTGGATGCCGTTTGGCATAACGAGCTGCCCCCAAGGAGGGCCAAGGGAGTGGCTCAGCAATGGTTGAATAAAAAGGTGAGGGCGGGCGGGACAAAGTTGATTCACTTCATGCCGAAGGAAATGGACTTCCCTCCCACCCTTCCCTTGAGAAGAAATGCGGATACGACAAGGTATTCGCAAGACTCAAAGGAAACAAAGTTGGAAAACTGGTGCACTCGGTTTTCAGAGAAAAACCGTTGATTGTTCAAAGGAAATAAAGATTTATCCCTACGCTCCGCTCCGGGACGAAAATCTTATTTCTTTCCTCAAACGTGCACTAAGGCGGG